GGAATTGGAAACCGGGCAGGCCGCAGAAATAGAAAAATGCCCCAGCGGCCACCGGCCAGCTCACCTGAAGCTGAGGTGGACTCACCCTCTCTCTCTCTCTCCCCACTCTCTCTGCCTGTACGCCCGCACGTCTCCCGCGTATCTATCCATCCCTCGCTCGCTCGCTCGCCGCCCCCTGCCTGCCTCGTCTGATTGGCAGCGTTGGTGCTAGCAGTATAAAATTATCCCCTTCTCCTCGTGAAACAATTTTCTTTCTTTCTTCGTTCCTGTCCTTGCCCCGGCCTGAGGGGCTATTTGCTCGTCGTTTGCACGGGCCGCTTGCGCCAGCTCGCTCGGGGTCGGTTTGGTTATTTGCTAGGACAAGTGTGCTTATTGTAATGCTATATGCGTTTGTCTTGTGAGATGCTGGGGTTATCTAGACTTCTTTTCAAAACTGCTGCACAAACCATACATCAGCTCTTCTGATTCCCTCAAAGGAAAGAAAAAAAATGCATCAGCTCTGGTGAGCTTGGAGGATCTTGTAGTATGATGTGGGATGACAACTTTAGTTGTCACAAGCATGACAACTTTTTTTTTCGGATGGCAAGTTTCAGTTTTTTTTAGCTTTGTTTTTTTCTTTTCGGATGGCAACTTTAGTTGTAAAAACGTCAAGGCGGGATTGCTTCGTGCCACATGTGTGGCACTTACATTTGGTTAAATTAAGAAGCACCCAAACTAACTACTCGAACTCACACGTAAACCAAGTCGCTTTAGCGCCGTTTTGGCATGATGGTTCTTATTTTGGAACAGGTCCAACATTTTCGTGAGTGACATGTGAGCTAGAGTGCTCGACCCGGGTGCGATTTGAGTGAAATATAAAAATTGTGACGCAAATTTTTTTTGTGAAAAAAAATCAGCTGGTTAATTACTACCAAAGAAACAGTTGAAATATCAAAAGGGATGGCCTCGCTTATAAAGATAATCAAGAGTGAACCCGACGAAAAGTCCTACACATGCTTGTCAGCTCGTGCAAATATGGAACACGATGAATGTAATGAATGTGGCGTTTTCAAAAACGTTTCCTCAATGTCCTCCGTCATCGTCGCCGAGATAAATGAGGAAGCTTCTGGATGGGTTTTTGACTGGCACGAAGCATTTGAAGTCCATCATACCACGAGAGGAGCCTTTTTCCCGTATTCCCATCATCGGATATGTCATGTAAACTTAATTAATGAGAAAAGACAAAGCTTTTGCGCATGTTTAAAATAAAAAAATGTAAGTTAGGAGCATGTAGTGTTCTCGAGGGATTATCTTGTTGTCATAAAACGCATGAGCTGGTGCATGTGTGGTGTGGAATCTTATACCACGATGACTATTACACAAAACTACAAACAAACATATGTACAATTGATTTATGTACCTTGAACAAAAAGGGATCACTTGTACCAGAAAAAAAGAATAGGATGCACCCAAACTATAGCTTGAGCTCGCAAGCCAAAATGCTTTCCCTTTTTGGCCCTACTGAGTGATTGGCAACGCTATTACCTTGTGTTGGCCTGAGAGGCTATTTGTCCGTCATTTTGCACAGCCGTATGTGCCAGCTAGAGGTCGGTTTAGCCAACTTGGTTATTTGCTATGACAAGTGTACTTATTATACTAATATTCGTTTTGACTTCTCATGCTGAGTTTGTGTTGTACTCCCTCCGTTCTAAACGCTCTTATATTTCTTAGAGGGAGTACTTATCTAGATTTCTTTTGAAAACTGCACAAAACTATACAACAACTCTTCTAATAACCTGAAAAATCATCAGCTCTTGTGAGCTAGGAGGATCTTGCAGTGCGGTGTGGGAGCTTATATCACGGTGGATTTCTCAAAACTACAAGAAATAAACTTAAGAGCAAACCTAATTGGTTTGTGTACCTTGTGGGGGAAATAGTTGCACAACATGTATAATAAATTTTAGGATGCATCCAAACTAACAACTCAAGCTCACACACAAGCCAAATTGCCCCTAATGAGACTCCCATTCTTTCTTCAACAGATGAGATTCAAATTGGATCCGAAAGATGACGCAACCAAACAAGCATATGTTGGAAATATGCCCTAGAGGTAATAATTTGTATTATTAAATTTTCGTTATTCATAATTAAGAGTTTATGTTTCATGTTGCTAACTGTTATGATCCTGGAATATGTGATTCAGTGGAAAACTCATATGCACGTGTGGAATGATAAACGACAAAACAATAGGTTCCCGGTCCCGCCTCTAAGGACTGGCTCAAGTGTTGTTGGTGATCAGGTTTCCGGATCTTGGGTTATTGTTAAGCGTAATGATAGTCCTGAAATAAACATTGAGGATATGACGTTAGAAGAACGATCATATTGAATTGACCCAAACTTGTATGTTATACTTTGTGATTATATCATGTGAAATCATCTGTTATAGCATGAAGTGCTAGCATGTGTTTTAGTTCCTCAGACCATGAGAGTGTCTCGGTCACTTCCTACCATATGGTGGGCTTTGGGGTTGCTCAAACGTCACTTGTAACAAGGTGATCATAACGACAACTTCCAGGCTCACCGGAAAGTTTGCCAAGTGACCGAACAGCTCGAGACTGGAATTTGCTCCTCCGACGATGGAGAGATATTCTTAGGGCCCACTTGGTGTGACGGCATCCAGCATCGTCTGGCTAGACACAGGTGACTACATCATGGGGATGCCGGAACATGTTAACGAGAAAAAGAACAGAACCGGTAACGGGAGCAACGGTATAGTGGGCATGGTGATGACTCAGGAGGATACCGATGCACACCGGGTTTTGTAAAGTATCGCAAAGCAAAGGGAACATAACACGATAACCAAAGGTTCACTCGAATATCATTCATGTAATCATAGGGACCGATATGGATGTCCGCGGTTCCGCTATCGGTCATTGAACGAAGGGGTTTCGTTCATGTCTATGATTTACTGAACCTACGGGTTCACAAGCTTAAGGTAATCATGATCTTTTGGGTGTTAGTAATACGAGAGTGATGAGAATACATTTGTGGAATTGTTTTATTAATATCCGGAATAGTTTCGAGAGGTTCCGGAAGCATTTCGGGGTCACCGGAAGGGTTTCGGTGAGTACCAGGTAATACCGAGTATTACCGATTAATTATATATAGTTTGAAAATGTTTTCGGGGATGTTAAATTATATCTATAATTCTCTGAAAATATTCAGAACATTTTATATTTAATTAAAATATCAACGGGCCTAAAAAGGCCAAGAGGTGGAAGGCAACTTGGGCCACAAGGCCCAAGTAGGAAGTGGCGCCCCCTTGCCATATAAGGGGGGGGGGAATCAGACTAGGGAAGGAGTCCTACACTCCTACTCCTCCCCCTTGGCTGGCGCCCCAAGGAGGGACTTTCCCTCCTTGGTGGCTTCCCTCTCCTCCCCTCCTAACCTATATATACTAGAGGATTTATCCCTATTGATACACAAGTTTTGGAGCCTCCTCTAGTTGATATAGTTCTTTTTCTAGTTGGTCCTAGTTGACTAATTAGAGCTAGCCCTAGCCACCTCTAATCCTCATAATTAGAAGCCCAGTGCGGTTCTAAACTCCTCCATATAATTCTCCGGCGATGATTAGCTCTCGACGGTGAAGCGTTGCCGGATCGTGAAGACCGTACGCTTGCAGCCAAGTTGAGAGGTCGTGCTTTCATTCTTCTGTTCAAGGGGTCATTTGAGGGTGGTTTGCGGGGTCATCGTCGACATTCGAGGGACTCCAAGTACGATCTACACTGACTCTTCTACTTCCGCTGCACTCCAGGAGTCGGTAACGATCATTAATCACAACTCGTTATGCATCTTCATATTGTTCCTGGGTGATCGTAGGGCGGATTTTTTTTGTTTTCTACTATGTTTCCCAATAGTGGCATCATGAGCGGTTCTATGAGTAGATGCAGGTTGTGATCTAGATCACATCTGATATGTGAGGTTTGATGTTCTTGCTATGTGATACATCTATTTTGCATCATGTTTTTATGTTGATATTTATTGCATTATGGACTATTATTAAACTTTATGGTGCAATTCTCATATCTTTTCTCTCTTATTTTACAAGATTCACATGGAGAGGGAGAATGCCAGCAGCTGGAATTCTGGACCAAAAAGGAGCAAATCTCATATCCCTATTCTGCACAACTCCAAATGTCCTGAAACTTTACGGACAATTATTTTGGAATATATAAAAATTACTGGGCGAAGAAATACCAGGAG